TCTACCTAACATTTTTTTTTAAAGATCTATGTATTTATTTGAAAGAGTTAACAGAGAGAGGGAGACAGAGAATCTTCCGTCCGCTGGTTCACTTCCCACGTGGCCACAATGGCCAGAGCTGGGCAAGGCTGGAACCAGGAGCCAGGAGCTTCATCCGGGTCTCCACAGGGGCCCAAACACTTGGGTGCTCTCTGATTTCCCAGGCGCATTAGCAGGGAGCTGGATCAGAAGTGGAGCAGCTGGGACAGGAAGTGGCGCCTACCTGGGATGCTTAGGTGGCAGCTTTACCGCAACGTGGCTCCCTGCCTCAGAGTGACAGCGAAGGAGAGACCTTCCATCTGCTTGTTTCACTCCTCAGATGCCACCTGGGCTGGGCCAGCGTGAAGGCAGGAACTCCACCCCCACCTCCCACATGGGTGGCAGGGTCCCAAGCCCTTGGGCCATCTTCTGCTTTCCCAGGCGAATTAACACGGAGGTGGATCACAAGTGGAAGTGGAGCAGCCAGGATTCCAACCCGCGCTCCAGTATGGGTTGATGGTGTTGCACACGGCATGGCAGCTTAACCCACTGCACCACAACAGTAGCCCTGAGCTAAAGCATTTTTAGACTAGAAAAATAATAAACAGATGAGGAGATATTCAGGGAGAAGATATTGCAATGGAGAAGCCCCACTGTGGAGATGGCACTTCCGAGAGACAGCTCCGTGTTCTTCTAGAATTTTGTGCCTTCCCCATCAAAAGGCAATGTCTGACACCCCCCTTTCAATCTGGGCAGACCTGTCACTCACTTGTAAGCAACAGAATGCAGTAGATAGGATTTTAATTTTTTTGAAGGTTTATTTATTTGAGAGGCAGTTACAGAGATTTTCCATCCGCTGGTTCACTCCCCAAATGGTCTCAATGTCCAGAGCTGGGCCTATTCGAAGCCAGGAGCTCCTTCTGGGTCTCTCATGTGGGTGCAGGGGCCCAAGGACTTGGGCCATCTTCTACTGCTTTCCCAGGCCCTAGCAGAGAGCTGGATTGGAAGAGGAGCAGCTGGGACTCAAACTGGATCCATGGGATGGCAGCACCACAGGCAGAGGCTCAACCCGCTGTGCCACAGCCCTGGCCCCATTAGACAGGATTTGTTTGCGTGTATAACTTCAACGCTGGGTCCTAAAAGGCCGTGCAGTTTCAGCCTTGTTAGTTGGATCACATGTCCTTGGAGCCCTGGAACTGCCATGCTCTGAGGGCGGCCAGGCCCTGGGGAGAGGCCTTGTGTGTCTGTTCTGGCCGACATCCCAGCTGAGATCCCAGACATCACAGCACAGAGACAAGCCAGCCCCACTGCGTCCACATTCTGGACCCCCGGACATGGTAAAATGGTGGTTGTTTGGGGTGGTTGGCTATGCAGGAATAATATCGAGAACTCACAGTAAATAAGCAAGTAAGCTAGCATGATAATTTCATGCTGTCACAGGTCCTCGGGAACATGGAGCCAGCCCTCTTCAGATAGACGCGTGGCTACTGATGTTGTAGGAGAGGTGACTGGTAGCTGGTACAGCAGCTACAAAGGCCCTGGGGCAACAATCAGTTTTCCACGTTTTATGTAGAACAAGGGAGCCAGTGAGACCCGGATGTGAGTGAGGGGTCCGAGCCCTGGAGCTGGAGATGGTGGCAGAGGCAAGGAGGCATTCTGGCCCTACAGGCCACTGAGCCGAGTTTAGATTTTACACTGAGTGAGCTGGGAAGCCCATGGAGGTGACTTGATCTGGTCAACTCCTGATAGCAGTTCAGGAAGGAGGTGGCGCCCATGAGAGGCTAAGGCAGTGCCTCATTCCCCTGGAGAGCGGCCCGAGGTAGGGCGACAGTGGTGAAGATGGGGACTCGGCGGACACATTCCAGACACAGATGCAGGGACACGGAGTACCAAGGAGGGAGGAGGCGCCCTGCCCAGCAGGTCGGTCCCGGGCGGGGCCGAGACGTGGGTGAGGACCGGAACCCAGCATCCGTCTGGAATCCAGGAGGGAGGCTGGGAGCCAGGGCCGGCCAGGACGGCGCGTCCTGGCGTCCGGCGTCTGCAGCGTGGAGCCAGCCCCTGGCTGAGCGCCGGCTCGCCGTTTCCTGGCAACCGCCGCCGCCGCCGGACTGTTCGGAACGCGGCGGCCCTCGTGACGTCACCGTCACCCTGGCGACGGCGGTGGGGCCCCGCCCCGCGGCGCGCTCCGCCTCCGGTTCGAGCCCTCGTTCAGCCCCGCCCTCTTCCCCGGAGGGAGGGGGAGGAACGGGCCTGGCTCCGCGGCGGGGGCGGTGGCAGGTGTGCAGGGCGCGGGGAGGGGCGTCGCCGAGTGGGCGCTGCCCACCCGCCCGCTTCGCAGCCGCCCATCCTTCCAGGCTGCCACCTGCCGCCTACAGGACCGGCTCCCCTGTCATTCAGGTCACCTTCCCGGGCCAGCCGAGCTAAAGTAACTGTCCACCCTCTGCTGGTGGACTGATTTTTTTTTTTTTAAATGTTCTTCACCGAATTCTCCCCGTCTTACGTGATCTGTTTACTATGCTGTCTTGCTGTTTTAAACCCGAGTCCCGTGAGGTCAAGGAGAAGTTCTGCCTTGTTCATTCTGTTCTCAGCCCTCTGAGCGGACTCTATGCATAAAGTGCTAATCAGTGTTGCTGGGATGAATTGGCAGATTTAGTCCCTCATCGCATTCGAGTTTGCATTCCTCCATTTCCCAGCTATAGAGTGCCTTCTGGGCACTAGTGATAAGCACCAGGGATACAGGAGGAATGAGACAGGGACCTCCCCCGGAGGTGAGAAAAGAGATATATTTTAAAAAGTCATTTCGATAACACATCAAGTGGACATCCTTGAGTTCCAGCCCCCAGCATAGCTTCAAGCCTGTTCGTTCAGCGTTCCCCGTCGTTCAGCGTTCCCCGTAGTAGATGAAGACGAGAACTCAGGCACGACTGGAGCTATGCACTGCTGGGCCTGGGTGACGTGTGGCGAGGGGCTCAGCCCAGTACCCACAGGCAGATCTGGCATCTTGATTATGCAGGGACTCACACCTGCGTCTCCACCCCCACCCTCCTTCTGCTCTCTGTCTCTGTATCTGAGTGCAGATCGGATCTCTGTGGCTCCAGGGCAGTCCGCCCACATCCCCTGAGCAGGCCACGCCGGGCAAATGAAGGGTAGGTAGGGCTGAGCCCTGAGCAGGAGATGTGGTGGAATCCTGTCCGTTCACCTGAAGCAGAATAGAGGTGAGTTTCCATATACACGTGTGAAAGGCAATGCTAGTTGCTATCTTACTGTGAGTGGTATCTAGGAAACCCAGGAGCTATGTTTATGTCACTCCTAGGTTTTTGCAACTTCTGTTCCCTTTGCCTACCATACTTTTCCCTTGTGATTCACTAGCTGTTTTTTTTTTTTTTTTTTTTAAGATTTATTTATTTAATTTAAAGGCAGAGTAATAGAGAGAGAGGGTGAGACAGAGAGGTCTTCCATCCTCTGGTTCACTCCCCAGATGGCCACAATGGCTGGAGTTGGGCCAGGATGAAGCCAGGAGCCAGGAGCTTCTTCTGGGTCTCCCATGTGGGTGCAGGGTCCCAACCCCTTGGGCCATCTTCTGATGCTTTTCCTGACGCTTTAGCAGAGAGCTGGATCAGAATTGGAGCATCCAGGGTGCTTGTTTTGGATGCCAGCACTGCTGGCAGAGGTTTAGCCTAGCCACAGCACTGGCCCCTGAAGATTTATTTGAAAGGCAGAGTGAAAGGGAGACACAGGCACGCACACACGCACACACACATATCTTTTTGTTCACTCCCCCAATTGCCTGTAACAGCCAGAGCTGGGCCAAGACAAAGCTAGGAGCCTGGAACTCCATCTGGGTATCCTGTGCAGGTGGCAGGGTCCTTGCACTGCCTTCCCAGGCACGTTAGTAGGGAGCTGGATTGGAAGCGGAACAGCCGGAACTTGAACGGAACTCAGACGTAGAATGCTGGGGGAGGTGCTTAACAACACCGGCCCCTTGGTGGTTCTTCTTCATTCAGGCCTCAGCTGAAATGTTTTATTCTCGTGGAGCTCTCTGCCTTGGCCACCTTCTCTAAGGCAGTCACCTGTCATTTGTCAAGTGAACGCATGTTAAGACTCCTGTCCCAGAGTGTGAGGGTGGCTTACCCTGGCTCATTGCTCTATTCCGGATTTCCTGATCCAATTTTCCTTTTTTTTTTTTTTTTAAATTCACTTTTAATGCATTGTTTCTGTCTCCTCACTCTGAAAAGTCAGTTCCAGGGGGCAGGTGTTTGGCCCCACAGTTAGGACGCTGGCTAGGATACCTGAGTCCCATCTCAGCGAGGCAGGGTTCCTGTCCCAGCTCTGCTTTCCGACTCCAGCTTCCTGGTAATGCAGACTCCCTCCGGCAGGAGGTGCTGGGCCACATAGTAGAGATCCGGCCACCCACGTGGCAGGTTCTGGGGGAGGGAGGCCGCAGATGGGAGCTTTCTCTCGGACTTTGTCCCTTTCCTCTAGTGCCTACAACAGGCCTGGCACACAGCAGGTGTCCAGTGCTTTCTGCAAGGCAGAGAGGAAAGGGCCCTTCAAGTCATTCCAGTTTTTCAGGCCAGGATCTGGGCACTCCCCTTCCCAGGGGCCCTGTGCTTGGCCCACAGCACTTGGCCATCGCGGCACTGGGATTCTCCTGGTGTGAGATCCTCTCACTGTTCCAGGCCCATGTGGGCTGCTGTCCTGCTCTGGGACAGGGTCCAAGACCCCTCTCCTCTCAGGCTGACATCCAAGACATCCTGAGGTGTGTGTGTGTGTGTGTGTGTGTGTGTGTGTCGGGGGGACAACAGGGGAGTGGGCACGAGCCTTCTGGTTCTCAGCCAAGATGGCAGAGAAAGGGGTTTTTCCCCAGAGCCTTCTACCACTGCTGTTGCTACCAGACGGGGTACCTGGAGGTTGTGGCTGTTTCCCCCGACGGAGGGAACACAGGCTCTGGAACAGATGCCCAGGCAGCCAGACATGCAGGGTGGAGAATAAAATGAGTTTATTCAGACTGTAGCCTTCCATTTGGGGTGCAGAGTGGGAGGCAGTGAGGGGCACAGGCAGGCAGTGTGCACTGGGCTTCCGGGGATGCTGCTGATTGCTGACCCTTGTTGGGTGACCTTGGGGTAGCAGCTGAGTGATGGGGATGGAGGGGCTGGCAGCCAGGGCCTTGCGGAGCCCTCGGACCAATCCCAAACAGAGACTGGTGCTGTGTGCATTTGGCCCGGGTCCTCTCCAGGGACTGAGAGCAGATGGCTGAGAACAGTGAGACTCCTAACAGGAGAAGTAAAGGCTGAGTGTGGGGGCTTCTACTCTGGCAGCGGTGTGCAAACTCACGCGTGTCGGTGCATGGGCCAGGCCTGGGTGGGGTACGTGTGCGTGTCTGTACATAGCATACCCTCCACATGCAGCCTGCCCTGCTCAGTGGGCCTCTTCCCAGCCTTTCTTCCCCCTTTTGCAAGAATGGAAGCCACACGAGCAAGTGGCCCCCAGCAGTCCTTTCTCCTTGGCCTCACCCTGTGTGTGCTGGAGGTAGGCAGCTGCCTCAGTCCTTGGGCCCTGGACAGTGACACCCCATGACAAGCAGGAGGCTGTCATGGAAACAGGGGCTCATTGGGCAGCTGGCTGGGAGGGGCTGCGGGGCACCCAGGCCATGTCGGCCTCTGCCAGACCACTGCTGAACCCAGCAGGGCTGTGCAGGAAGTGCCGCAGCAGGGGGGAGGCGTGGCGCCCCGCATGGGAGCCTGGACCTCTGGGCGGCTCTGCCTGCTCCGTGACAGTGGTGGAGGAGGCGAGGACGGTGTTTCCAAACTGGTCCACCTCCTCATACTGCTCTGTCACGGTTCTCGTGGCTCCGTAGTGCTGGGAGCCGCCCGGCCCCGTCTGCAGCTCCAGCACGGTCTTCTGCCGCCCCGTGGACAGAGGGCTGGCTGAGGCCGGCGCAGGCCTGGGCTGTCCGGGGCACTGGCTGACCTCCTTCCTAGCCTCGGCCTGGCCCAAGTCCTGAGATGAGCGTGCGCTTTTCCCTGCGACATCAGGGCTGTCCTTAGGGTTGCAAGTGTCCGGAAGCTTCCTGGTGGCTGACTGGATGGAGATGAAGGTTGGGGAGGAGGGTGAATTTCTGCTGGAAGGCAGGACTCGAGGGAGGCCCGAATCGTCTCTCGATGTCTCCGGCCTCCTGGTAGGAGGGACGGTGGAGGCTGCTCGACCTCTGGCCTCTGTCTGATTTCTGAGCTCAGCTTGGCCCTTGGCCTCAGGGTGGCCTGCAACCCGTGCTTGGCTCTTTGTTACAATTTGACTCCCAGAGCCACTGGGCCTGGCTCTGCTGCTGGCCGTGACATTGACCTTGTGGGCACTGTGGCCCTCCTGGGGTCCCTGGGTATGGCCCGTAGAGTTAGCTTCTGGCTGGAGGCTTGACATGGAGCTAAGGGCCTTGTGCACAGCTTCTTCGATGTCCAGCAGCCTGGCCAGGGTCTGTTCTTTCAGCCGGGCAACCTCTGTGCTAACCCGTGTCAGCTCCCCGAAGGCCTGCTCCACCGAGGCCTCGGGCGTGCGGGGGGCGGCAGGAGCCTGCGGGGCGGTCCCTGCCAGCTGGGGCACAGCCTCAAAGAGCCTCCGCAGGGCCTGCACATCCACACTGCTTGCAGCCTCTTCCTCCAGGGCTCGCACCTGACTCAGGAGGCCTTGGAGCTCCTGCTGGCTTCCCCGTGGAGCCTCAGGGCTCTCAGGGGTCCCCAGGTTGGCGTCTCCACGGGGCTGCCTTCCTGGAGGACTGGAGCCCTGTTGCGGTGGCTTGAGGTCACAGTTGAGAACGTTGAGCTTAGGGGGCTCAGGGCTCTGGGCATTGCTTCTCACAGCCTGACTCTTGCTGGGCCTGGAGGCCATGGTGGGGAAGCCATGTACAGGGCTGGGCTGGCTGTGTCCCTGGGGGCATCCAGGGAGAGGCCTCCCGCCCTGGCCTGTCGTGGTCGCGGGAACCTGGGTCGCTGGGAGGATGGCTGTCCCCGGCTCACCTTGTCTGTTTCCTTGCTCTGGCTCTGAGGAGGAGCTGTGGGATGGAGCCGAGGGCATGGGCAGCCTCCGAGGGGGGTGCATCTGGGCCAGGTACGCAGGTTTGGGGGGCACCTGAGGCTTCTTCCGTGGAGGCTCCGGTCTGGGGGTCTCTGTCTGCGACCCCCCAGGGTCTCTCTGGCCGGCAGGGCTGCTGTGGGAGTGAAGAAGGGGGTCCGGCAGGGGCTCAGAGGCCTGCTGGATGGAGTCCTCCTCCGGACGGGCTCGGGCTGGGAAGGCAGGTCCTGTCACAGCAGCTGGGAGAGCAGGAGGGGGAGGAACAGAGGCATTATGGGAGTACAGGCTGGCACCTGTAGCCTGGGGCCCAGAGGCCAGGGTGTGGCGGGCTAGAGGGGCAGTCTTCAGGGCGTTCTCTGGAGCTTGGAGGCCTCCCAGGGAAACTTGTGCCGTGACCTTCCCCGGAGGCCCCCTGGCCCTCTGTGTGTGGCCCTCTGGCTCCTCGTGCTGTGGCTCAAGAATCTGAGCTGGGCCTCTCTCGAGTGGGTTGGGAGGCTGGGCCCTGAGGGCAGTCTCCCTGACCCCGGGCTGGGGGTGCTCCTTGGGAGGCTGGACGACCCTGGGTGGCTCGCAGGTCCGCACAGGGTGAGCGGTGTAGATGCCATCCTGAATCCTTCCCCACCCCCCAGGCAGCCCTCTGGGCAGTGCTTTCTCTTCCCCACTGACCTTTCTGGGGGCTGCTGGGATCCTGGGGTCACCTCCAGCCACAGGCCTGGTGTTGCTGTGGGGAGCGCCAGTGGCGGAGGCTGGTGCTTGCAGGCCATCCTGGACGGGCATGGGAGTGGCTGTGGGGGCAGAGCCCTGCTTGTGCCTGTTCAGGACTTGCTGGTGCAGGCTTTGGGCCTCGGCTGTTGCCATCCGCAGGCTCTGCATGGCGGCCTGGAGGTCTGGGGCCCCAGGGCCTGGAGGAGTGGCCGTGGCTCCTTCTGCCTCTGCCACGGCTGCCACCCCCCTGTGCCCAGTGTGTCTGTTTCTCTGCTCTTCTGTGACCTTCGGTGAAGTTGGGGCTGCAGCCTTCCCAGCCAGAGGGGTGGTCTTCGCAGTGGCCTGAGGTGGGCTGGGGGTGGCCCCCGGGCCTCTCAGATGCCCCATCCCCATGCCAGGGTCCAGTGGGGGAACGTGGATGATGCTCTCTGTTGGGGGCGGCCCCTGGGCCCCCTCGCTGGCGGGCACCGCACTTGGGTCCGCTGGTGGCTCCCACCGCAGACTGTGCAGGCCACTGAGGTCTCCTTTGTCTATGCAGCTGGCCAGCAGCTGCACACTGCTCCTCTCGGGGGCCCTGCTGCTTAGCTGGGGCTGGAGGGAATAGGCGGTGAGTGCCACCAGGCCCTGCTCTGTCTCCTGCATCACCAGTCCCGTCCTCATCATGGAGGTGCCAAGGCTGCAAGCCAGCAGCTGCTGGAGCTTGGGGTCCATGTCTTCAGTACTCCCACTGCTGCCCGGAGCTGGCAACCTCAGTGGCTGGAGCTGCAGCTGCCCAGCTGGGTCCTCCTGCACCAGCAGCCCCTGCTGGTCCACGTCTGGCCGGCGTAGCACTTGGCGGACAATCCTGGGAAGCTCACCAGCCACCAGCTCCTCCTTCCGGATGTAGGGGCGGCCCTGTCCTGGGCCTGGGAGCACGTACTTGGCGAGGCAGAGCTCACCCGGGCCTCGAGACTCCATGAGGATCCCTCCATGGTGCAGGATGCCGGGCGTGGCGTGCAGAGCCCGCAGGGTCCCCTCGGCTGCAGTCTCCTGCCTCTCGGGCATCCCGTTGCCCGAGGGACTCGCGGGCTGCTCTTCCTGCAGGTTGCCCCCTCGGATGCTCTCAGCTGCCAGGGAGCCCATGGGGCAGTTCTCAAAGAGCCAGGTGAACTTGTGCACCGAGCCTGCGGGGATGGGCTCAGCAGGGACCCGGGATGTTTGCTCTTCACCCTTGCCTGCCTCCAGCGCTTGGAAAACCTCCTTCTGCCGAGACACCTGCCCTGAAGGGATCTCCACCCGGCTGCAGTATCTCACGGGCCCCCTTCCGCAGGGACGGCCTGAGGCCGGCAGCGGCTCCGTCTCGAAGACATGTCCGTCCGTGTGCCTCTCCCCAGCCTGGACCTGGCTGACCTGTAGATGCTGCTCCCTGGAGCCCTCTGCCTTGTCCAGGGGCTGGGGCTTGAACATCCAGGTGCAGGACCGTGCCTCAGCCTGGGCCGTGGGATCTGGGACTTCCAAGCCTTGCTTCTCCGCCAGCTCGCTCATGGGGCATGTCTCAAACAACCATCGGATGGTCTGCACGTCACCTTTCGGGGGTGCCTCGGGCCGGGGGCCTTCCTGCCTCTGCCCCTCCTCTTCCTGTCGCTCCTGCTGCTCCCGCTGGTGGATCATCTCCAAGGGCTGAGTCTCAAAGAGCCAGCGAGCCGTGCCGACGTCCCCGGCCACCACTTCCTGCCGGGTGATACCCCGCACCACGTCAACGGTGCTGGGGCTGCGGCCGAGTCGGTCCAGCGGCTGCGTCTCAAACATCCACCTGTAGCCTCGCACATCACCCCCGACTACCTGCTCCCTGCTGACAGAGGTGAGGGCGTGAAGGTGGCCCCTGCTGTCCTGCATGGCGTACACTGGGGACCCTGTGGCCTGGGACTGCCCAGTTTCGGCTCTGCTCTCATTGCCAAGGGTGGAAGGCTCGCCCTGCCCAATGCTATCCAAGGGAAGGGTCTCAAAAAGGTTCTTGAAGGTCTTCACGTCCCCCTTCACACCGTCCTCCAGGGGGGCTCTCTGAGAGGGGGGCTCATGCAGGAGCCCCTCCCCCTGCTGGGGCCCCACCCGCTGCAGGTGGCCCACTTGCACCTTGCCTCTGGGAGTGTCCAGGGGCTTCGTCTCAAATAGCCACAGGGTGGAGCGGACGTCGCCAGGGACCACTTCTTCCTTGGGCGGAGCCTCTGCTCCGGGCTCCTCCTCTCCCTTCAGGGTGTCCAGCGCTCGGGTCTCAAACAGATGCCGCTGCTGCTGCACATCTGGACCAGGGGGGACGAGGTCCGGGGACGGCTGGAAGTCCTTCTCATCTACCTCGATCTCCCGGATGGCATCCAGAGGCTGTGTCTCAAAGATCCAGCGCGTGGCACTGACGTCGGGCCGGGCCCCCTCCTCCAGGGAGATCCCCCGGATCACCCGCACCTGGCTGGGGTCCCGGTTGATGGCATCCAGCGGCCTGGTCTCAAAGAGCCAGCGGGCGGTCCTCACCGCGTTGCTTTGGATCTCCTCCCGGCACGCGGCCTTGACCTCGTGGATGGCGCCCTCGGAGTCCTGGATGGCACACAGCGGCTCTGTTTGGAACAGCTTCACCGTCTTCTTCACGTCACCCTTCAGCTCCTGGATCTCTGAGCGCAGCTCCAAGGGGCTCTGTTCCTGGGTGGAGGGGCGGGAGCCCAGGCGGTCCAGCGGCCGGGTCTCAAAGAGCATCCTGGTGCCCTGCACGTCCCCGCTGGCCGCAGGCTCCCTCACGGCAGCCCCCAGGGCCTCGGCCTGGCCCAGCTCACCCAGCGGCTTTGTCTCAAACAGCCGGCGGGCTGCGCGCACGTCCCCTCCGGCCGGCCGGGGTTCGGCTGGCTCCCGGTCCGTGCTGTTGGCGAAGGAGCCTTCTTCAAACTTGCGGGAAGTGGCCTGGACGTCGCCGCCCTGCACGGGCTCTCTGGCAGCCGGCTTCTCATGCTCTCCGATGGCATCCAGCCGCCAGTTCTCAAAGATCCAGCGCATGCACTGGACGTCGCCCTCCGTGGGCTCCTCGGAACCGAGGACTTCGGCCAGATCCTCAGCCACGGCCTCGGCCAGGTTCTTGCGGAGCTCGGGGTGGATGTGCCGGTAGAGCCGGCGCAGTTCGCTCGCCTGCCGCTGCTGGTGGAACTTGGAGAAGGACTCCTTGGGAGGCGGCAGCGGCAGGTCCTCCGGGGCTGGGGGCGGGGGGAGGGGCAGGTCCTGTGCCGTCGCCGTGGGGATGACTGGGGAGGGAGCCAGCTGGGTCTGGGCGTCGGCCATCCTTCTGGGGAGAAGGGGGCAGAAGTGAGACTGGGGTTGGGGACAAGTGGCAGGGGACAGGGCCCAGGAGCAGCTTAGAGACTCCCTCGCCAGGTCAGCTGGGCCTGTACCTCACTTTGCCACCTGTATGGTTGGTGGGCAACAGATCTTGAAGTCAGACCTGTGGACCCATCCATCCAGGTGGGATTCTACTTCCCTGGGGTCACCTGGATTGCTAGGGAGCACTGCTGGCCACAAAGCTAGTTCCTTCAACCCCACAAAGGATGTCCAGGCCTCCGGCGGGAAAACCGAATATGTCTCATCCTCCCCTTTGGCAAACTCAGTTTTCCCTGGTAGATTCCCAAGGAAGTGGCCCCGGGGAATACTGACTTAAAGAGTCTTAGTCATGGAGAGGGAGTTCCCTAAACTGAGGTTTGGGCTTCCCCCACAGAGGTGAAATTCCCCTGGCAGAACACCAGAGGGCGCACTTGCCTCTTGGACCGGGAACTCTGCCCAACCTTGGCTCACAACTCCCTCCAACCTTTCCCAGACTCGGGGAGGCGGCAGCCCACGCCACAGCGGAAGCAGTGGAGGCCCAGAGAAGGGGATTGCTCACCAGATGTCCTGTGGTCAGACAGAGCCAAATTCTGAATCCCAGGTTAGGGTTTTTGTGCTGTACTCCCATGACTCAGACGATCTGGGCTTATGGGGGCTAACCAGGACCCTTTGTAATTACAGTTGGGGAAACTGGGGCCCAGAGTCGGATCCTAGTGAGTGAGTGACAGGTACTGCCGGCTCAGGGTCCCTAGACCCGATTAGGAACTGGTCCCCAAAAAGAAGGTGGGAGGTGGGAAACTTTCTAACTGGCGTGGTGCCCCTCTGTCCCCCAGCAGGTTCTCCCAGGAAAATGTGAAGGTGACACCCGAGGGGTGGCAGACAGTGGGCCCAAGGCCCCACCCCTGGCGCGTGGAGACCCCTCCCCAGTCACGTACAAGCAGGCAGCCTTCTAAGGGCTCAGCTGAGACCTCTTCCTGCAGGCCTCCATCATCACTGGGCCTGCACCTGGCTCCTGGTCCTCCGCTTCCTTTCTTCCCATGTGAATCAGCTTCCACCAGGACGTGGCCTCTCGGCCCTCAAACCCTCCCCTGCTCTCCATCCCACGTCTGTCTTATCAGTCCTGTGACAGGTGTCTTGATAGTTCCCAGAGGCCATTAGGGAAAGAATGTTCACCGCCCCCCACACCCCAACCGCCTCCCCCACTGACCCTGACCCACTGCTCCGTTCTACACTTGGTGCTAAATATAGCTGAGGTCCTGGCCTCAGAACAGCAGCCCAGGGCTCAGCCAGTGGGGACCTGGGCTGCTCGTGGTTCAGCCAATCCTCTTTGTCATCCTGGTCTCCCCAATCCTGCCTCCTGAGTGGGTGCCAGGCCATTGGCTTGCGAGTCAAGTAGTGACCTTCCCGTGGTGAAAGGGACTCGCAGGTGGAGCAGGTGCAGGGACACTGGCAGCAGGTGGGGGCGGGAGCTCCTTCTATGGCTGTCTCGGAAAGAGGAGAGGGGAAGCTGACCACTTGCCCAGCCGGCCAGCCGTGTCCAGCAGAGGTGTGGGAGCCCCTGGGGAGCGTGAGCTCTGGGACCTGCAGCTACAGTCCCACCTCAGTGTCTGCCCAAGGCAGACCTGCCCCTTCCTGTCACTCCAGTGTGGCCCGAGCAGCCACCAGCTCCACCCCGCCCCCACCCCCAGGAATCCCCAGAATGCAGGGGAGGGAGTCACACCGAGGGAACCTCAGAGGTCACTGACTCCGACTCAGAGAGGGAAACAGGTCCCTGGAGGGGCAAGGAGCTGTCTGCGGGGGCTCAGGAAGGCAGAGGCAGCTTCCTGCCCCTCATCTCCTGCACCTTTGTCTGGCCTGAGGCTCCTGGGGCAGGGGAAGGGTGAGGATGGAATTCAGATTTGGGACAAGACTTAGGGTGAGGTGGATCCCAAGAGCTATCCCAGGGAATGGGCTGCCAGGGCTCGGCCGGGCTCTCAGAACCACCCATCTCTGCCCCAGGCTTCCTCCTCCGCCCAGCCGGCCCCGGATAGCTTTACTTCTGGGCAGACTCAGAACTAGTCCCTGGCCCTGCCTCGAGCCCGCAGCTCGGCCCCCAGGGCTTTAGCACTGGGCAAGACGCTGGCTTGGGGCGGTCATCACGCCCAGGCTCTCGGCCACATCCGGGGGTTGCTGGGCTCAGTCCAGCCCAGGGAGTTATCCCTGGGGCCAAATATGCTAGGACTTTGACCCACGACAGCTGGCACAGGGCTTGTCTCAGCCCTGCACGCTGGGCCCACTTGCTGGGCCCTGTGGCCCACGCCCTCTTCCTCTCTGTCGCTGGTTCCTCCAGACCCTGGGCCCGCCTGGCACCTTCCTGCGAGGGAGTCTCGGAGGGGCTCCTGAAAAGCCTTTGTGGACTGTGCCTGGCTGGTGAGGACCTATTTCTTCTGCTGGCCTGGGCCCGCGGCGGCCACTCAGAGGGTTCGCGCCAGGCCCAGGTGGGCACAGCCTGATCAGAGACTCATCCGCTGCCCTACACCTACTGCCCATATGTGCCCCACCCCCCCACCCGAGCCACCCCTCTAACCCTATCCCGCAGGATCCACACGGGATTGCCATCTAGTAGCCGGTCCTGCCATGGAAGGACAGAGCGGGCAGCTTACTCACCGAGGGTCCTGTTTGGCTGGTGGGGGGCGTGGGGACTGTCGCAGGGTGGCCCGGGGGTCTGCCGTTGCTCTTGAGCTTCTTGGCCGGGGGCTGGTTCTGCTCCGTGGGCTCCGCCGTCAGGTGCCTTCTTGCAGCCCTGGCTCTGGGTCTGTGTCCCCTGGCAGCCCCGGCAGCTGCCTTTATCTCGCTGGCTGGGGGTGGGCCAGGGTGGGGCGGGCGGGCTATGTTCAGAGCATTAAGTGGTTCGGTTATTTTTAGGGCTGTGGAAGTCACTCTTGCATCCCGGGGAGTCAGTTACATGTCCTTCGGGCAGGGGAGGAGAAGGGGAGCTTCATTCATCCCCGGTCTTCCCCGGGGAAGGGGTCAGTGACTCAGCCTGAAGTGGGGTGGGGGGCGCCCCGAACTATTTTGAGGGAGTGAATAAGGAGGGCCGTCGGACCTGGGCAGCCTCGGTCCCTAATGCTGTGTCTCCATTGTCCTCTCTGGACTGGCCTTTGCCTCCTGCTGACTTGAGTGCCCGCTGTGCTGGGAGACCCGAGACCCCGCAAGGGGGCATCACCCTCTGTCACCCCCTGAGTGGGGCTCGGCTCTCGTTCTCCCGTTCCCTTGTGCCCCAAATCTTCTCTCCCCCACTCCTCCGTGGGCCCCACGGCTCAGCTCCTTGCAGCCCTGGGTCCAGCATGGCCTGCAGGAAGCACGTGGCGATGCCCAGGCCCCCGATCTATCCGAGAACTCCATGGAGTGGATCTGTGGCCTTGTCTCCTTCTGGACTGTTCTCTCTGACTCACGGCCCAGACTTTCTGGGAATGGAGGGGAGGGGAGGGGTGGCATTCGGGGGCTGACGGTGGGGTTATTTCTGACCCTCGAGTCATCCGCTTCCGAGTCATGGACGGAGTGTGCGTGGGGGGGAGGGGGCAGCTCCTTGCTGCCCGGAGCCCGAGGGGCCTGGCAGGCTCAAGGTCCCCGTACTCAGTCCAGGCTGGTGAGGACATCAGAGGGCCACGCACAGCGCACGTGACAGGGGCTTTTGTCCCGGATGGGAGGCCTGGCCCCAGCTCCGTGTCTAAGGGTTAGCAGGTGCCCTCTGTCACCTGGCAGGCACAGTCTTCCTTCAGTGTCGGGGGTGACACTTAGGCATGGCTCACTTTTTCCGTGCAGTCAGTAGCAGTCAGGTGGCGGCGGTGGCTGGGACATGTGGGAGCCCCGGCTCCCTGCTCTCCCCACCTCTTTCTTTCTTTCTTTCTTTCTTTCTTTCTTTCTTTCTTTCTTTCTTTCTTTCTTTCTTTCTTTCTGTCTTTCTGTCTGTCTGTCTTTCGACAGGCAGAGTGGACAGTGAGAGAGAGAGACAGAGAGAAAGGGCTTCCTTTGCCGTTGGTTCACCCTCCAATGGCCGCCGCGGCTGGCGCACCACGCTGATCCGAAGGCAGGAGCCAGGTGCTTCTCCTGGTCTCCCATGGGGTGCAGGGCCCAAGCACTTGGGCCATCCTCCACTGCACTCCCGGGCCACAGCAGAGAGCTGGCCTGCAAGACGGGCAACCGGGACAGAATCCGGCGCCCCAACCGGGACTAGAACCTGGTGTGCCGGCGCCGCAAGGAGGAGGATTAGCCTAGTGAGCCGCGGCGCTGGCCCCACCTCTCCTTTCTTCCCCGTGCTGTTGGCAGTCCTGTCCACCTGCTGCTCAGAATCCCAGGTCTCCCTCGGCGGGGCAGGGACATGGCCATTTGCCCTGTTTGATTCCAAGGGAAGGAGCCGGGCCCCTCCCGGAGCCTGGGGATATGGAGAGTGCTGCTTCCTTGGGTGGTTTGGAGAACGGTGCGAGTGAACGTGCGGCCGGGGTTTAGGATACGGCAGGACGGCAGGACGGTAGCAACACCTGTGCACAGGTTCTGATGAGAAGGGTGGTGTAGGCGGGCCTCACTCTCCCCTTTGCCTTCAGGGGAGAACGTTTTTCTGCCATACAGCCGTGCTGTCTAGAACACTCGTTACTAGCCACGTGGCTACTACAATTTAAATACAATAAAAAGAACTTCAGCTTGTTTGCTGTGCCCGCCACATTGTAAGTGTCACGCAGACACACGTGGCTAACCATGGCCATACTGGACAGTGCGGTCCGTTTCTACTTTTGTGGAAGGTTCTGCTGGACGGTGCTGTTGTGGACAGTAAACATCTCATTACATGCAGCATTCCCATCTTTGCCTTGGCAGCCAGGGAGCTCCAAGAGAAATTCTTAGTTTTCTTCTACTTTATGGCATAAGCCCTGTGGCCTCAGTCATCTGTTTCTGACGTCCCCCAGGACAAGGGGCTTTCAGTTTTAAAACTCAGAAAATTATTTAAAAAAAGAAAAAAAAACTCTTTATATTTACTCCCCTCCCCTGACACCAAAAAGCCTCAGAAAGTTCTGAGAAAGCCAGGACAAGTTGGCCTCTCCTTGTGTCACGTCATCATGATGTCAGCCACGAGGCTGTCACGGCACTGAGTCTGGCATTATTCACGGAGTGTCTCAGTGGTATCACAAAAGGTAAACCGAGGCACAATACATTCACAGTTTATTTATGCAAACAACATGTCGCGGATCAGCTCCCAGCTGGAAGTGTTCAGGAGCTCCACCAAGCACGTGCACACAGGAGGCTTTCATGGGCGGGACACAGAGGTTAAGGGGAGGCTGTGTGGCGGGTTGGTTAGACAGGAGCCTTATTTGGTCTGTCCCACAGGACAGCGTCCGGTTATAGGAGTTTGTTGGCCGCTTCCGATTGGTTACACTTAAGACCTAGCTTTCTTTAATGTAGGCGATTTTACAAACAGGTCAGGCAGAGCCGGTGCTGTGGCTTAGTGGGTAAAGCTCATGCCTGCATTGCCCACATCCCATATGGGCGATGGTTCGAATCCTGGCTGCTCCACTTCTGATCCAGCTTCCTGCTATGGCCTGGAAAAGCAGTGGAAGATGGCCCAAATGCTTGGGCCCCCACACTCCATTTGGGGAGTGAACCAGCAGATAGAAGGACCCCCCACCCCAACACCTCTCTGTAACTCTGCCTTTCAAATAAATAAATAAATCTTTAAAAAACAAAAACAGGTCAAGTTCAGTGTCACCTGTGAGTGCGAATCAAGCCAGGATGAGGTCACTTAGGAGACCTTAACGGCTTTGTCTGCACTGGGGTTTTTCTATGTCAAACCATTTTGGGAATTAGTGCACACACTGAGGCTGATCGGTCGGTCTAAAGGAAAAGGCAGAGACTGAAGGGAGCTGTGTGCCGGCTGTGGCTTCCCAGGCACCCCGGGCCCTCCTGGACCCCACTGCCTCCCCGTCTCCAGGGCGCCAGCCCGTGCCACGCCCTCCCTCCAGGTGGGGATCCTCCAAAGTCGCAGCTCGTGCCTTCATCTCCCTCTGCTCTAAGGAGGAGGTGGCCGCCCTGTGGTTCTGGAGAGACAGCGTCCAGAGATGGTGTGAAGGCAGCCCGCCTCGGTTCGAATCCACGTGCAACTGGCAAGCTTCTTTCTGTTTTAAATCGGAGGGTTATTATTTAAACTTTTTTTTTTCATTTTATTTGAAAGGCAGAGAGAAATTTCTTTTAAAAAATATTCTGTTTATTTATTTGAGAGACAGAGTTACAGACAGAAGAGACAGAGAGAAAGGTCTTCCATCTGCTGCTTCACTCCCCAGATGGCCACAATGGCTGGAGCTGGGCTCATCAGAAGCCAGGAGCCAGGAGCTTCTTCTGGGTCTCCAATGCCAGTTCAGGAGCCCTAGCACTTGGGCCGGGGCCATCTTCTACTGCCTTCCCAGGCCATCGCAGGGAGCTGGATTGGAAGTGGAGCAGCTTGGACTACAACTGACACCCAAACGCCACGCAGGTAGAGGCGTTAGCTCACTGTGCTGCAGCGCCGGTCCTGAGATGGAGAACTTGACATCCACTTTACATCCCCAAATGCGTGCACCAACCAGACTGGACCAGGCTGAAACCAGGAGTCTGTAGCTCTGCCCGGGTCTCCCATGTGTGTGGCAGGGAGCCAGCTGCTTGAGCCATCACCTGCTGTCTCCCACAGTAGGCATCAGCAGGGCGCTGGATGGGAAGTGGAGTTGCTGGGATGCCACCCAGGCACTGCGGCGCCGGATGCTGGGGTCCTGTGCAGCGACGTAAGCCACTGGGCCGAACGCCCACACTTGGCACATTTTGCGACCTGTCTGTTCCTCAGATGCCCCGTCAGTAACAAGGGAATGGTAATTGTGGCTACCGCAAAGCCTTGTTGCAAGAAACACACACAGGAGCTTCTTGCAACCCCTGGTGTCCGTCAACAATCCTTCCAAAAGTTCCTGGAAAGTGCACATGACTTTAAATTTCTACGAACTTTTTGAAGCCTTCTCGTAAGATACAGAGCTTGGAGCAGGCCTGGCCCAGAGTAAACTCAATAAATGACTAACGCTGGGGCAGGCGCGTGGACTAGCAGCCGGGCCTTCCGCATGGTGGGGCCCGTGTTCCACGCCCGTCTCCAGGTCCCGACGCCAGCTTCCCGCGGACGCGCACCCTGAGAGGCAGTGGTGCTGCGACCTGCCACTCACGTGGGAGGGCGGGATTGAGTTCCGGCTCCTGGCTTCCGCCGGGCCCTGGCCCCGCCCCTTACTTCCGGGTCCCAGGTGGCATCCGGGCTTCCCGCTGGCCCGCAGGTGGACGCGGGTGCCAGGGCAGGCCGGGCTGGGTCTGCTCAGCCTCTCGGTCCCCAGGGAGGCACTTGAATGCAGAGAAGGGGCTTCGTGCTCTGGGCTCAGCGCCAAGGCGAGCGCACGTGAGGGGAACGTGAGGCGGCCGCCGCCGAGGCCCCGTTTCCCAGGGGCAGCGAGTGGGGCCTGGTGTCAGCCTGCCTGGGATCCCGTTGCCCGTCTGTCCCTCGCTGTGTATCTGACCGCTGGGAGTCCGGCTTCGGGAGCAGGGTGTGGGGGAAGCCAGCGCGGTGACCTCCCCGGGAGGGGATCCCAGTGAGGGGAGGCTTGTCGCCTCTGGAAGCCGCTGCGGCTTCCTCTTCCTGGTTCCTTTCCGTTGTTTATTTATATTTTAAATATTCATTTATGGATTCGAGGGGCAGCGTTAGAGGGGTCTGCAGTGGTTCACTCAGCTGGTTCAGGCCCTAAATGGCCGCAGCTGCTGGAGCTGGGCCGATCCGGAGCCAGGAGCCTCCGCCGGGTCTCCCACGCAGGTGCAGGGGCCCAAGGACTTGGGCCATCCTCCACTGCTATCCCAGGCCATAGCGAAGAGCTGGATCAGAAGAGGAGCAGCTGGGACTAGAACCAGCGCCCAGAGGGGTGCTGGTGCCACGGGGCGGGGATTAACCTACTGCACTGCACTGCCAGCCTCCTCATTTTTTTTTTTAAAGAAATTTATCTAATTGAGCTGGCACAGTGGTGTAGTGGGAACACCCACTGCCGCCGTCCCATATGGGCACCAGTTCTAGTCCCAGCTGCTCCACTTCCTGTCCAGCTTCCTGCTAATGAGCCTGGGAAAGCAGTGGAAGAGGGCCTGGGTGCTTGGGCGTCTGCGCCTCTGCCTCTCTGTAACTTTGCCTTTCAAATAAGTAAAATAATTTTTTTTTTAAAGAGCCCATCCACCCGCGCTCACTGCCCTGTTTTACACTTGGGGAAACAGAGGTTGGGTGTGGCCCTGGGTGCCCAGGGTGGAGAACAAAGCTGTTTCAGGCAGGCTTCTCCCCAGTGTCACAGCTCCAGCTCCGCGAGCCTTGCTCTGTCCATCTGCACAATGGGCACAGGGCGCTTTGGCTACAAGCGGATGGGGGAGGGTGATTCAGGCAGAGAGTCGCAGGCACGACACGCGATGCATGCGACGTGAGAGCGGCTCGGGCAGCAGGCTGGGCTAGGAGGGCTGAGTCCTTAGAGACAGGAGGCAGGGCCCAGAGCCTGTCGCTGCAGCCTGGTGCTGGGAGGCGTGGAGGGCTGATGAGGAGGAAGAATTGGCCACACCTGGAAACACTAAAACCTGCACCATCTGAGTGGTGTGGCCCATTGGGCGGGGCCGCAGGGCACGTCCCTGGCTGGCTGGCTTGGGGAAGGGGCTGGACAGTGGGAGTTGGGGGCTGGGGAGCAGGGTGACTGGTGGGGCAGGGACCGGACAGGTCGCTGTGGACGAGGTGAGCGTGAGATGCCAGGGTCTCCCAGGCGGAACTGGACTCCAGGTGGCCACCTCATCTGGAGCTCGGCGAGAAGACAGTGCTGGCGCCCTCTGTGTGCAGGTGAGAACTGAGGCTGGTAACGGGGTGTGGGCTTAGGGCCAGGCCTGGGAGAGGGGCTTGCAGCAGAGCAGCAGGAGCCAGAGAGGTGAGGAGAAAGCCTGGAGGGCTCGGGGTGAGCAACCCCACTGCTCCTCCGAGGCATCATGGGTCTAACAGGCGTCCACACAGAGGTCAGACAAATCAGCCCTTAAGGGTGTTCAGGTGGCTTGCAATACCCACGGTGGCCAGAAGGCGGCAGCACCACACCGAGAGACATTTCCTGTAGCTGCATTTCATAACACTTTGCACAGGGGCTGTGTGCTGGACTCTGGGGTGAGCACTGGAGATTTTACATTCGTACCCAAATTGTGTATGTATATATATTCTCACGGAGCCTACGTTTTAGCCAAAGAGGCAGTTAATTATTAATTAATCTCGCAACTGGCAGTGAAGTCTCCAGACTCCAAAACTTGATTGCTTTGGTTTAGAGAGGAGTCTTTCTGGAGTGTGTGACCCATGCCCCGTCCTCCCTGAACAAGAGCTGAGCTCGCATGGCAATGTGAGGAGCAGGCTGGAACTTGCGTCGCCCCTGTCAGGAAGTGCAGGGGTGGGAGGTGGTCCCTGAAGAACCTCCAAGACCTCCCCCGTGATAGAAGGAGTCAGCCTGGAACCCTGGAGGGGTCAGAGAAGTCACAAGGCGGGTCCATCAAGGGGGAGGTGGCAGCGGGCCGGGTGGGGACACGGAGGGCTGCGCTGGCCTGGCAACTCCCTGAGGAAGGGAGGTGTCCCCAGCTTCCTCTCTGTCTTCTCCCCAGGCCCCAGCACCCTGCGCTTACTCCTGTTGCCCCTGACTCATCTAGGGTGTAGACAGGGAAGCACTGCTGTGCTCGGGTGCCCTGGGGACACCACTCCCAGGCACCATCCCTTGATAAGGGTGACATAACCCCCAGCCAGCTGCTTACGGTGCTCCCCGCCTGCAGAGGTTCTTGTCTTGGTGGTGTCCTGTCCAGGACCCTTTAGCAGCTCTTGTCACTCTCGCATGAGAGCCAGTGCTGGGGCTGCAGGCCAAGCTCTCCCCGTGAAGAGCCCCCCTTCAGACTTGAGGGGAGAGGAGGAACAACTTTTCCCTTCTGGGATGCACGGTTAGCAGTTAAGATGCCCACATTTCCTGTCACAGGGCCTGGGTTTGGGTCCCAGCGCGGGCTCCTCACTCCAGCTTCCTGCTAGTGCAGTCCCTGGGAGGTGGTGGTGAGGACTCAACTACTGGGGTCCCTGCCACTTAGATGGGAGACCTGGATTGAGTTCCAGACCCTCGGCTTTGTCTGCTCCCAGCCCCGGCTTAAGTGGGTGTTCAGGGAGCAAACTAGCAGATGGGAACACACATTCTGTGTGTGTGTGTGTGTGTGTCTGTCTGTGTCTGTCCGTCCGTCCGTCCGTCCGTGTCCGTCCCTCTCTCCCTCCTGCCCCCCCCCCCCCCAAAAAAAAAAAAAGAGAGCGGTCTTTGCAGATTCCCTCCGCGGCCTGTGCTTCCTCCATTTGCAGGTGCGTGGCAGAGATGGGCTGAAGGACTGGCTCCGGGTTGGCTGCTGGTGTGTCTGGAGTCTGCGCTTCCCTCCAGAGCTGGGGCACTTGACTGGGAGGCAGTCTCCTTGCCTCTGGGGCTCTGGCCCGTTCTTTGAGGTTCTTTGAGACGGGAGAGCCTCTTGGAAAATCTCGTCCTGAAGAATGATTTTGCACTTGTGAGAATCCAGCATGCCCTTCAGGGCACCAAGCTTGTTTTAAGCTAAATAATGCAATGAATAGCGGCTGCAGGGGATCAACAGGCCCTCAGAGCCGTGCGCATTTCCTTAGCGGGCTTAGCAGGACCTCCTGCCAAGTTACTGCTGGCAGAAATGCCCTTTCTGGGAGATTCACAGCCAGAAAAGAGGCCAGGTAACCTAAGACTCCGTGACCTCCATTTGTTCTATGGAAGTTCTCTTCCTTCCTCCTTACCAAGTGGGTTTACAAACCTCTGTTTTTGTTTCTGGGGAAGTTTCCTCATCTGAAATCTCCCTCACATTAATAAGTGTCGCCTTCTTGTCTGTTAATCTCTCTGTCAGCAGTTAATTTGAATCTGCCCTGAACCTGCGTGGGTAGAGGAAAGACTTTTCCTCCCAACGCTTCTTCCCTTTGCCACCCACGATTTTGAGTCTGGTACTGCACTTGATCTTCCTGCCCTGCCAGCGATACTGCATGGCCAAGTTTCTTTCACTCTTTCCTTCCTTCTGGCTCATGCATCAACTAGATCAGAAGAGACGGAAAACAGAGACCCTGTCGGAGACTTCGCAGAGTTCTTAGTGCAGGGTGGCAGAATAACGAGGTTACTTAAAAAGTTCGTGGGAAATGGAGTTACAAGGAAGCTTATTTTGCTGCAGAAGGTTTTGCAACCCGTGCGTGGTTTTTCACAATGGACGTTTTGAAGACGCTTCATGTGCCGCCCCGAGACGTGCCACTTTGGCACAAGGTCTGTGTTGAGCTGAAAGCAACGAAGAAGCAGCAGATGCCAGAAAGGCCGTCTGCTCTGCTCTGCTGTTTGCCTGAGAGCAGGACATAACTTGCTGAAGGTGCCCCTCCTCCCCTCTCCCCAGGAAAGACCAAGACCGAAGACTGCTTTAGACCCCTGTCAGCCTGGGAGGGCACCAGCTGAACCCGTGACTGACTCCCTCACCAGCCTCGTCTGTCGCATCTTCCCCACACAGGTGCCTTCCCATGTGTTGCCCCTGGAGGCTTGAGGTCCTTTTTCTGTTTTTGTCTTGTCACCTCTCTGGATGTGGGAACTCAATTCCAGTGTCCTGCATGGGTGGCCGAGATCCAGTCACTTGATCCTACACCTGTTGCCGCCTGTGCACTTTAGCAAGAAGCTGGAATCAGAAGCAGAGCAGAACTCAGGCACTTCAGTGTGGGATATGGTCATTTTATTTTTACAGAGATTTATTTTATTTATTTGAGAGGTAGTTACAGACAGAGGGAGAGACAGAGAAAGGTGTTCCATTTCCTGGTTCACTCTCCAAATGGCTGCAGTGGCAGAGCTGGGCAGGTCCGGAGTTAGGAGCCAGGAGCTTCTTCCGGGTCTCTCACGTGGGTACAGGGGCCCAAGGACTTGGGCCATCTTCCACTGCTTTCCTGGGCCATTAGCAGGGAACTGGATTGGAAATGGAGCAGCCAGGACATGAACCGGTGCCCATATGGGATGCCGACGCTGAAGGTGGAGGCTTATCCCCAGGATGTGGTCATTTTAGTTTATGTCTTTATCACTAGGCCAGATGCCTGTGCCTAAGCCACCTCTTTGAGTTACTCTTCACTTGAATTTTCTCATATATGTGAATGCTGCAGAATTTAGAATGGTGGAGAGAAAATGATTTTTCCTTCCCTACATTACTTTTATTTTTTTAAATATTTATTTATTTGAAAGGCAGAAAAAGCGAGAGGCAGAGGCAGAGGCAGAGAGAGAGGTCTTCCATCTGCTGGTTCACTCCCCAAATGGCAACAATGGCTGGAGCTGGGCCAATCCGAAGCCAGGAGCTGGGAGCTTCTTCCAGGTCTCCCATGTGGGTACAGGGGCCCAAGGACTGGGGCCATCTTCTGCTTTCCCAGGCCAAAGCAGGGGACTGGATTGGAAGTGGAGCATCTGGGACCCGAACTGGTGCCCACTGCACCTATGTAGGAGACCCGGAAGAAGCTCTTAGCTCCTAATTGGGGAGTGAACCAGAGGATGGAAGACCTACCCCTCTCTCTCTCTCTCTCTCTCTCTCTCTCTGTGTGTCTCCTTCTTTCTCTGTGTAACTCTTTCAAATAAATAAATCTTTAAAAACAAAACAAAACAAAAAAACAAAGTTAATGGCCAGGATGGTGGCAGATGAATTTGGCTTGTTTGCATTCTGTCTGGTGTAATTATATTTGAGTGCAATGTGACACAACAGGTGGCTGATTATGAAGTGACTGGAAAAAAATAAATCACTAGCCTGCCTGGGCTGCCGTAGGCAGATACCATGGATGGGTGGCTTAGACACCAGGCATTTCCTTCTCCCAGTTCTGGGGGCTGCAAGCCTCAGACCAGTGTGCCTGCTCATTCAGGCCGGGGAATCCACTGGCTCACGTGACCTCAGGAGGAGGGGTTGTTAACCCTTCTAAAGACTACCTGGAGAGGTGAGGTCACCCTTCCCCCTGTCTGCCAGCAGCTTTAAGCTGTGAGTGGGTGTCTGCTGTCCGAGCGTGAGAGAGCGCTCAAGTGCTGCTGACACTGGGGAAACCCAGCTTCCAGGCCTCTTCCCAGCACGGAACTCACACGTTCCCGCTGACCGCCGGCCTCTGCAGCTTTCACGTGGGCATAACCACCGAAGGGCCTGTCCTCGGTTTACAGGGGAGCCACTGTTCAGATGCTCACTACTCACGGTGGACGGTGGCTGTGACATCGCATGGTGCGCTTCCAGCAGTAACTCAAACAGACACATTTCCCTGCCCGCGTGGAGCTTACATTCCTGTGGGGGAGAGAGGCAGCATGAGGCCTAGGGTTGTGCTCACAGTTTCCACTCACTGCTGGTAGCTTTTTTTTTGGGGGGGGGGGGTGCCAGAAGTTTTTTAAGATTCCTCGTGACTCCTGGTGTTCTGCAACTTGACCGTGAAGTGTGTACTTGTGTCTGTTTCCCACCCGGCCTGTTCAGCACTGGACAGGGTGTGTGGGGGCAGTTTCCCACGTGCACAGCGTGTCTTCAGTCACCTCCAGGAATGAACTGAGCCCTGCACTTGTAATCTGAGCGGGCCACTGCCAACCAGCAGACATTTCTGCAAAATTGACAGCGACAGTTGACAAGGACCAAGGTAAACAAAAAGAAAAAAAAATTCCCAGCTGGGATTGAGGGAACCGAAAGCTTTAAACTGCTGATGGGTCTCGCTCTAAATCAGTGACCACTGAAACCTCAAGTGGCCCTGAGTGCTGCCCAGCAGTCACCCTCCTCGTCTCCTCCCCGCTCCCCTAGACAATGGTTTCCGGTCCTGCTGCCCTTCTCAGGCCTCCAGCGAAGCCTCGTCCGTGAAGACTGCCTTCACTCCTTACTCCCGCGAGAAGCAGCAGGATCTGAAGGACCCTTCCATGAGTGTGCACCCGCAGATCACCCAGGCTGACCCAGCGCCCACACTCTCTGTGGTCCTCACTGTCACGATGGAGTAACTATGTCCCCTCTTCCTTGAGGCTGGCTCCTGGCTCCTGGATCCTCCTCAAGGAAGCGACCAGGTCGCTCTGCTGAGTCCTGCTTCCCTGCCCGCTGCGGCACCATTTCCATCAGCATGTAGACACAATACCGTTTTTCACATCTTAAAAAACAGCAACCCAGTGGAGGATGGCCCAAGTCCTTGGGCCCTGCACCTGCATGGGAGACCAGGAGAAGCACCTGGCTCCTGGCTTCGGATCAGCGCAGAGTGCCTGCTGGTCGCATTGCGCCGGCCGTAGTGGCCATTGTGGGGTGAACCAATGGAAAAGGAAGACCTTTCTCTCTCTCTCTCTCTCTCTCACTGTCCACTCTGCCTGTCAAAAAACAAGACAAAACAAAACAAAGCAAAAAAACAAAAAACAAACAAACAAAAAACAATCAGCAACCCCACTCCAGCTACTGCCTTTGTGTCTTCAGCCTACGAAGAGGCTTCAAAACCTTCAGGGAAAATGTGTGTCATGAAAAAACTGTGCAAGGATTTCACAATGTTTTTACACCAAAAGAAACTCATCTTTTAATTCCATTTGAAATTGAAGTTCGCTTGTATTTATCTATCCTTGTTGCCTCCAATTTCTGATCCCCCCTTCTCTGTTTATCAGTGTTTTGCTCCCACAGTTCTGCAAAAGCAAATCGTGTCAAGATCCACAGTGAGCTCCTGATAAAGCCCAGAGTTACTGCTCAGGCTTAAGTTCATCTGGACACAGGAATCACTCTGCTTGGCTTGAGACTGTCCTCACTTGGCTTCTAGCTCCGCCTGCTCCCTTGGCTCCCTGTCTGCCCACTGCTGCCTCTCCGATGTTTACCCTCCCAGTAGTGGACTCTCCATTTAGCAGTTCTTGGGCCTCTTCTCCTTATCTTTGTGAGTTTTCTTTTTAAAGGTCATCTGTTCGTGGTGTCTTTGACCCTAACTCTTCTCCTCTTACCTCAGGATGCATGTGTTTGATTGCCTGTTGAATATCCTCTTCTCTCTCTCTCTCTCTCTCTCTCTCTCTTTTTTAAAATATTTATTTATTTATCTGAAAGGCAGAGAGGCAGAGAGAGAGCGAGAGAGAGAGGTCTTGCATCAGCTGGTTCACTCCCCAAATGGCCACAATGGCCGGAGCTAGGCCAATCCAAAGCCAGGTGCCAGGAGCTTCTTTCGGGTCTCCTATGCAAGTGCAGGGGCCCAAGGACTCAGGCTGTCTTCTACTGCTTTCCCAGGTCACAGTAGAGAGCTGGATTGGAAGTGGAGCAGTTGAGCCGGCGCCGCGGCTCACTAGGCTAATCCTCCACCTTGCGGCGCCGGCACACCGGGTTCTAGTCCCGGTCGGGGCGCCGGATTCTGTCCCAGTTGCCCCTCTTCCAGGCCAGCTCTCTGCTGTGGCCCGGGAGTGCAGTGGAGGATGGCCCAAGTCCTTGGGCCCTGCACCCCATGGGAGACCAGGATAAGTACCTGGCTCCTGCCATCGGATCAGCGCGATGCGCTGGCCGCGGCGGCCATTGGAGGGTGAACCAACGGCAAGAGGAAAGACCTTTCTCTCTGTCTCTCTCTCTCACTGTCCACTCTCTGCCTGTCAAAAAAAAAAAAGTGGAGCAGTTGGGACTTGAACTGGCACCCACATGAGATGCCTGCATTGCAGGCAATGGCTTTACCCACTACAGCACAGTGCCAGCCCCTGGATATCCCTTTTCATACTCATTGATGAGCACAGGAATCATATCTGTTCTTCACATGATGCATCCCATGCACTGTATGTTGTATAGTATGTCTGTTAGATATTCAGTACTTGAGGTCGAATAGTCACTTCACCTTGTTCAAGCTCTAATCATTTCACACCTGGCCCTCTGGAACAGCCCCTGCCTGCAGGAGGCAGCCTGTCCTGGCTTGCCTGATAGTCTCCTGGTCTCTTTATTTATTATTTTTGTTTGAAAAGAAGAGTTAGAGAGAGAGAGAGGAGAGAGCTCTTCCATCTGCTGGTTCATTCCCCAAATGGCCACAATGGCCTGGGCTGGACAAGGTTGAAGCGAGGAACCTGGGACTTCCTCCGGGTCTCCTATGTGGGCAGCTGGGGCCCAAGCACTTGGGCCAACTTCCCTGCTTTCGCAGATGCATTAGCAGGGAGCTGGATCGGAAGTGGAGCAGCTAGATTTGAGCTGCTGCTCTTACGGGATGCTGGCGTCACGGGCAGTGCCGTAACCTGCTGTGCCCCAATGCTGGCCTCTGCTCTCCTGCTTTTCACACTAGAAGTCCAGTCTCAAGGAAATTTCTCAGCCCTGGGAAACCAAGAGACTTGGTCTCTTCAGATGATTCCTTATGTCTGTTCTCAGTGGATCCAGGGTTACCCTTTTAGAAAGCAAATTTTTATTCACTGCTTCTCTGCTCAAAACCCTTCAGTGGCTTCCCACCACCCTAATCAGAAAGAAAGCCTTCACTTTTAGGGGTCTACCAACTACAGGGTGTGCAGGCTTGCAGGCAAACATTGTGTTACAGTTTGGATATTAGTTCAGGTGTCCCCCAAAAGCCATGTTAAAAGCTTGGTTGCCCCCAGACTTGTGCTTGATGGGTTAATGTTAATGGTGATGAATGAAGGTTGGAGACCTGATCCGATTATGGTGTTGTTTAGGAGGTGGGTCTAGGAGGAGGTCCTTAGGCCATTGAGGGCATGATCTCAGAAGGGTGTTCTTGCAAGATCTGGGTTCACTGTAGCCTCTCTGCTTCCTGCCTCACCATGTAACTGTTCCTCTGCACCTGATCTGCCATTGCCAGCCTTCAGGTGGACTGCTCAGTTGTGAGCAGGCTGATACCGAGGTGTCTGTGGAACTTTCAACTGGCAATGTCCAGAACTGCAGAGAGAATCAAGCATGTCTTTTGTTTGTTAAACAAGAACAGATGGCCCTGGGAAACATTGCAAGAAAGAACTCTAAGAAATTAAAAATATTTGTTAAATTGGAAAAATTCAATGTTGGACAGAAAGATAAAATTATAGAATTAATTTCTGAGGACCCTAATGATAATGTTGTATAAAATTTAGAAATGTCTAAGTAAATATACAATGTATGTATTGCAGCCGTATGTCCCAAACACCCCAGATCCTCAGTGTGCATCTTCCTTACCGAGGACACTCCTCTGTATAACCAGTGTAGTCCTCACATCAGGAAATGAGGAATCAGCACTGGTATAACACTAATGTCTGAGCCAGGGATTCCATTCATGGTTCACCAGCCGTCCCTGACATGTCTTTTTCCTGCCTGGGCCAGGATCACACTTTGCATTTTACAAATTTATGCATTTGGGAGGCAGATATAGAGCTCCCATCTGCTGGTCCACTCCTCAATGCCTGCAGTAGCCAGGGCAGGGCTGGGACCCAAGCTAGGAGCCAGGAACCCAATCAGGTTTCCCACATGGGTAGCAGAAACCCTGTCACTTGAGCCCTTCATGGCTACTACTTGGTGTCTTCAATGGCAGGAAGCTGAAGTCAAGAGCTGGAGACAGGTATGGAACCCAGGCACTCAGATATGGGTTGTGGGTTTCTTAGCCATTGTCTTAATTGCTAGACTAAACACCCATCCCACACTTCGCTCTTAACAGTCAAGTCTCTTTAGTTTTCTTCAGTCTGTAAGCATTCCTCATCTCTCCGTGTGTTTCACGACCTTAACAGTGTTAAAATTTGCAGGCCTTTCAGTCTGTAGGACAAAGCTGAGTCTGGTTCCACTGATGTTTCTGCAAGACAAGACTCAGACTTGCATTCCTGGGCAGAGCGTGCGGAGGGGACGCGGTCCTTCTCTCGCTGGGTCACATGAGCAGGCTCATGATACGCACCGTCCCACCACAGGGGATATTGGCTTTATCACCTGCTCAGTTTGGTGCCTGCCAGGTTTCTTCACATCAACTCACTGTTTCCTGTCTGTGATTGATAAGTTGATGTTCCACATCTCATTAAACCTCTTTCCCTTGTCTTAGTATCCATTGGAAATGTTTGCCTGAAGTGATCATTGTTATAGTGGTTGCCAGAGGTGATTTTTCTATTTTTATCATTCCTACTAAATGATTAGTTGGCATTCTACTATTATTTGAATGATGCTTTTTGGCACAAGAAAATGCTCCAGCATCATCACAAATTTCTCTGCCTTTGCCTTGGAATTAACTATTTTTTTCCCAAGGAATCCCAGAGTGGAGAACAATATTTGAAGACTAAAACCTAGGTGCTTGGTTGCTTCTGGCTTCTGTTGTGTTGCTGATTCCAGGCCTTCTCAGTGTCCAAAGGTGGGACAAACACATGTACCTATGTGTGTGTGTGTGTACATGTGCGTGTATGTGTCACCCCCACAGAACTGTAACTGTTCCTGTTTAGCTGTGTACATATATATAATATATATATATTTAAAAAGATTTATTTGAAAGGCAGAGTTACAGAGAGGCAGAGGCAGAGAGAAAGGTCTTCCATTCACTGGTTCACTCCCCAGATGGCTGCAACAGCTGGAGCTGGGCTTGATCCAAAGCCAGAAGTCAAGAGCTTCTTCCAGGTCTGCCACGTGGGTGCAGGGGCCCAAACGGTTCGGTCATCTTCTGTTGCTTTCTCAGGCCATAGCAGAGAGCTGGGTTGGAAATGGAACAGCTGGGACTGGAATGGGCGCCCATATAGAATGCTGGCACTGTAGGTGGCGGCTTTTACCCCTATGCCACCACAACTGGCCACTTTTAATCTTTTAAATTAATCAACTTCCTCTGCTTGCACACAGCCCTGAAATAAGTCTGTCCTAACCACAGAGGTGCCCATTGTTGTTGACTGTGGAGTCTCTGTGAGAGGGATCACCTGCTTGTCTGAGGGCAGACTACAGATCTTGGGCTGTGTCCCACCTTGGGTCTAGGTTTATTTTGGCCAAAATGGAGAGCACAGTTATAAGGGTGACTGGCGGAACTGGTGCTGTGGTGTAGAGGGTACAGCTGCTACCTGCGGCACCAGCATCCCATATGGGTGCCAGTTTGAGTCCCAGCTGCTCTACTTTTTTTTTTTTTTTAAAGATTTATTTTATTTGTTAGAGAGAGAGATTGAGATTGAGATTGAGATTGAGATCTTCTGTCTGCTGGTTCACTCCCCAGATGGCCGCAATAGTAGAGCTGAACTGATTTGAAGCTAGGAGTCAGGAACTTCTTCCAGGTCTCCCACACAGGTTCGGGGGCCCAAGGACTTGGGCCATCTTCTGCTTCTTTCCCAGGCCATAGCAGAGAGCTGGATTGGAAATCTGAAAATTAAGCCTTCCTCTGGTTTCATGGGCCACTTCTTGGGAAACACTGACCCTAAATCTCACACGGTGATTTCTCTGATGAATTGACCGAGGTCTAGAGGCCACCCCAGACTTGTTCCCATCTCTGTGGCCTGTCAATGGCAGATCTGGAATTAGAAACCCGACTGGCACTAGGGTGAGACAGGCAAGATGCCAAAGATGCAGACTTCAGGAGGTCTTTGCCCTCAGGGTCACTGACATGCCCTGTGCACTCCCTTGCCTCACAGAGGCCCCGCCCAGATTAGAACTCTAGGGTCCTACTTACCAGGAGGGAGGGGGCACGTCTGGCTTGGGGAGCTCGGGTGAGGGGGACTTGCAGGGAGTTTTCTTATGCTGGTTCTCCCGAGGTGTGGGATTCCATGGCCTGGGATGGTTACTCACCTGGGAAGCATGCATCGCACTGTACGCACAGGGCGCTGAGGGCCTCTGCAGTCTGGGTGCAGAATTCCTTGCCTGGGTTATCTTTAACTGGTTGCTGAGGGTTGCAGTAGTAGATACTTCTCTCTTATAAGAATAGGCTTTCCCTCCAAGCAGATCTGTCTCGTAGGGTTCAGATTTCTTTGTCTCTGGTCTGGTGTCTGCTTTCTTCATGTAGAACTGCTTACTAAGAATTAAGAAGGGAGAACTAGCTTTGTTGTTGGTTGGTTGAGGTAAGAAACAATCTCCAAGATGGCCAATATAAGACATAGAAGGAAGAAGGGCGAGGGGGACAAGAGACATGTCTTGAGCCACTTTGTGACTCTTCCAGTACTCTGGTAGAAAGTGCAGTCTTTTCTTAGTTGGCCTCTTGGCCCACTCTCACCCTGATCTGGTATATTTTCAACAAGGCAGCTGGAGAGATCCACTAAGTTATACACAAGGCAAGAAAATGAAAATGAATTAAAAGGCATTGGAAAGGAAGAGGTAAAACCATCTCTATTTTCAGATGACAAGATCTCGCACAGCAAACACTAAAAACTATTAGGAGTAACAAATGGACTCAGCAGAGTTTCAGGATATGTGGCCAATATATAAAAATTTATAGCAGCATCAATATGAGTAACACATTTAGGAATACAGTTAACAAAGGAAGTGTAGCACCTATATACTGAAAACTACAAAACATTACTGAAAGAAATGAAAGATGATGAAAAGAAATGGAATGGCATCCCTATTCCTACATCAGAAGAGTTAATGTTCAGATAGCAACATGTGCTCCTTGAATGATTTATAGATTCAGTATAGCCACATAAGAATCCCACTTGATTTCTTTTAGAATTTCCAGTTGGTTTCTTTTACAAGCTAATTCCAAAATTTACATGGAAACTCAAGGAACCCAAAATATGCAAAATAATCTTGAAAAGAGGAAAAAGCTGGGTGTCTCACACTTTGCAATTTCAGAATAGCTATGAAGTGGTAGGACAGTATGGTACTGACATATGCATAGATGTATGGACCAATGGAATGGAATTGAGAGTTCAGAGATAAACCCGTGTATCTATGGTTAGTTGATTATTTACAGGGATGCTAAGACCATTCAATAGGAAAAGAATAATCTCTGTAGAAAATGGCATTGAAACAATTGGGAAGCCACACCTAAGAGGATGAAGTTGGATCCTTATCTCAGACTACGTAGAAAAGTGAAATCAAAGTGGGCCAAAGACCTAAATATGAGAGCCTAAACCATAATCTCTTAAAAGAAAATGTAGGTGTAAATCTCCATGATCTTGGATTTGGCAGTGGGTTCTTAGACATGACATCAAAAGCACAAATTGGACTTTCATAAAAAAGACTTTTGTGTTTTGAAGGACACTATCAAGAAAGCAAAAAGACAACCTATAGAAAGGGAGAAAATATTGGCAAATCTAGAGTATTTGCTGAATGCTTACTGCTCAGTGATAAAAAGACAACCCAGTTAAGAAGACAGTGCTGCAAAGATACACAAACAGCCACTGAGCACACAAGAGGACACTAAACATCAGCAATTAGGGAATGCACATCAAAAGCACTGTGAGATAATACTTCAGATCTACTCAGGATGATTAGAATCAAAGAAAATCAGATAATAAGTGTTATCAAGGACATGAAGGAAGTGCTTTTACCCACTGCTGGTGGGAGTGTAAAATGGAAAACAGTCTGGCAATTCGACAAAAAATTAAACAGCATTACCTTTTAACTGTCCAGCAATTCCACGCTGATGTAGAAACCCAAGAAATAAAAAACGGCCACTCAAAAATTTGCATTTGAATGTTCACAGCAATATTATGCACAATAACCCAGAGGTCCACCAACTGGTGAATGGGTAAACAGGAAGTGGTATATTCATGCAATGAGATATTATTTGGCCATAAAAAGAAATGAAGTACGTGAATCATGCTACAACATGGATAAGCCTTGAAAACACACCTGGTGAAAAAAGAGTTACAAAATACTGCTGAATTCATCTACTCCCAAGGGAGTCTAAAAAGACGGCTGCTTTGGCTGCTGCTTCTTGAGGTTCAAGGTCTAGGGCCCTTGAGGTTGGAAGAGTCCCAAGATAGCAAGACACAGTGCATAAGTCTGTGCCTGTGTCTGCATCTATGTGATTGCTCTCCTTAAAAAGCCACCAGGATTTCATCATGGATGCGCCACCCTAAATACCGTAGTCATCATTAACGTGCTTGTGTGACTTTGGGGATTAAATTCCTACAGGACTTTTGGAGGGCAATCCATATACCAGCCACATGCTATAAGACTCTGTTTACAGGAAATGCCCAGAATAGGCAAATATGTAGAAATATAGCAAGTGCATCAGTAGTTAGACACAGCAAGGGGAGGCGGTGCTGAGAAAATTGGGGAGTGATAACTAAGGGGTAGGGTGTTTCTTTTTGAAGTAGTAGAAAGGTTTGAAAAATGACTTTGGTGATGGTTATTCAACTTTGGAAATTGCTGTAAAGCATAAATTGTGCAATTTATGTGAGTGAGTTAGATGACATATAAATTACATCTCATTAAATTCTGGTTCTATTTTCTATCTGTCTACCTCTCTGTCTAATCTCATCCATTTATCTAAACCGTTCCATGTCCTGCACTGCTGAGCACCCTTCAGGAGCTCCCATTTTACTCAGAAGAGTGCACTTCCAAGTCCTTATGATGACCTCCGAGGCTCACCAGCACCCGTGGCTAAACCTGCAGCTGTCATCTGGTCTCCTACTGCTGTGTGCCTATTTGCTGTCCCTCTGGACTGCTTTTCTCCCCCGTGACAGCATGGTTCCTTCCTTTCCTTTCCCTTTCTCTCTCTCTCTCCCGTCTCTGCCTCCTACCTAGGTTTAATACCCAGTTTCTGACTTCAGATTCCTACTAATTTTACAAACCCTGGGAGATAGCAGGTGATGGCTCAAGAGGTTAAGTCCCTGCCACCCATGTGGGAGACCTGGATTATATTCATGCATCCCAGCTTTGGCTTGCCTCAGCCCTGGTCCTGGCAGGCATTTGTAATGTGAACCAGTGAACAGGAGCACTTGGTCTCTCTGCTTCTCAAATATGTGGGGAGCAACTCGGACTAGACTAAGTTACTGGAACTAAGACTTATTCTATGCATCTGCTCTCCCACAATATGGCGCTGGGAGAGAAGAAAACAGCTTCTACACAGCTGCCTCCAGTTCAGCCAATAAACTGTAGGACTTGCTCCTGATTGGAGGAGAGCAGCGTACTCGGCGTGTGGGCAGCCGAGTTGGGATTGGCAGAGGAGGACTATAAAGGAGGAGAGAGACGGCATGCACCAGGAACATCTAAGGGGAACATCTAAGGGGAACACCTGTGCAGCCCCCGAGAGAGCCGGCCGGCGGTGTGCCGCTCCCCTGCGGAAGTGGGGAATGTGGCCAGGGGGAACTGCCCTTCCACGGAGGTGGAAGGGATAGTAGCCAACCCGGGAAGAACCAGCAGCAAACCCGGGGAGGGCCGAGCAGACAAAAGAACAGCGCAGGGTCCTGTGTCGTTCCTCCACGAAGACAGGGAGCGACATAATGGTGCCGTGACTCGGATATGAAGCCTAGGCAGGGTTTAGTGTCGTTCCTCCATGAAGAGGGGGAGCGACAAAATAAGTCCAAAATTTTTTTTCTTTTTTAGCTATAATGCTGTATTGTATGTTGAGAAGTTCTGGTGCTAATTGTACAAGACAAACAGCCTGGTTCTATCAGTCACTGAAAATGCCTAGACAAAGAGGAAAGGGAGTAAGTTGCTGGTGTTAGAGGTAGGGAAGGAGTGGATTGGTCAAGACTTTGAGTTGCAAGTTACAAGCAGTCTTCATAAAGTTCAAGGAAAATGTATATTGTAAAAAAACTATACATGGATTTCAAAAATCTTTGCAACAAAATAAAGTTAGCTTTCAATCCCACTTTCATATTAATTAATTTTTTTTTATTTCAGAAAGAGAGAGTGAGAGTGAGTACTCCTATCTTCTGGTTCACTCCTCAGTTGCCTGTAATAGCTGGAGCTGTGCTAGGCTGAAGCCAGGAGCCAAGGACTCCATCCAGGCCTCCATTTAAGTGGCAGGACCCAACTACTGGAACCCTAACCACTGTCGCCCAGATTTGGAGAGTCAGAGAAGGAGACGAGTCTGGGGTGGTCCAAGGCTAGGGGTCTGGGCAGCTGAGAGGGTCAGAGTGCGACACTGAGAAGGAGCACATTTTGGGTGGAAGTCAGGAGCTTAGCTGTTGCCATGTTACCTTGAGGCATTTCTTAATGTGTAAGTAGAAGGAGATGTTAAGGGAAAAAATGGACATACAATTCACGATTAGGGGATATTTCCATGCTGGAAATTGACATTTGAAAGTCTACAGCAGACAGGTTATATTTAAGTTCATGAGCCTGAATGAGCACCTATGGAGTGGCCATAGATGGAGCCAAGGAAGGATGAAGAACTGAGCCCTGGGATGCAGGAACAGTAGAGAAAGAGGGATGAGGAGCCAGAAAACAAGGTTCAGAAAGAACAGCCAGCAGTGTCAGAGGAAAGCCAGCGGGACTGGGGAGCTCTGGAAACAGGGGACATAGAGTATGTCCAGGAAGAGGGAGCAGATAACTGGTCCGAATACTGTTTATAGGTTCAGTAAGGTAAGACCTAGGATTGACCTAGGGATTAGCAGTGTTGTAAGCAAGCTTGGTTGGGCCTGTTATGGGGATACTATATGGACAGATGTTTGGAGGGCATTTAAGACATAATGGAAAGAGAGGAACTGGACTCAATGAGTTGAGAAGGATTTGTTTTTAAAGACTTTCTGTGAAGGAGAACAGAGAGGTTAGGTTGTGGTATAGAAGGGAAGTGGATATCAAGAGGTGTTTTAAAACAAGTGCTTTAACTATTTTCTGTCAGTTTTCTTTATTTTTTTAAACGATTTCTTAGCATTTTTATTTCAGGGTAATAGTAGTGAGAAACAATACAGAGAGATCCCTTGTTCCTTTTACTGAGTTTTCCTAAATGGTAGCATCTTGCACGCATGGGACAATATTACAGCCAGGGTTTTGACATCAGAAGTGTCAAGATACAGAACACTTTCATCACCACAGGGGTCCCTCGTGCCGTATGGACACTCCCCCATAACCCCTGGCAACTACTAACCTCTCACCCACTTCTGTAATTCTGTCACTTCAAGAATATTGTGTACATGGAATTACAGAGTCTACAGCCGTGTGGAATGGTTTTCTCTTCACTGAGCATGCTTGCTAGGATTCAACCAGATTGCTGCATGAATCCATAATTCATTTCTTTTATTGCTGAGTAGTATCCCATGGCATTGACACACCACATTCTGTTTAACCGTTCCTCTGCTGAAGAGTAATATCTAGATCGTTTTCAGTTCTTGGCTATCACGCATGAAGCTTCTATAAACATTTGTGAATAGATTTTTTTAAAAAAATTATTTTTACTTTACTTGAAAAGTAGACACACACACACACACACAAAGAGAGAAAAAGAGAGAGGGAAGATCAGAAAGAAGACAAGAGAGTTCTTCCATCCGTTGCTTTAGTGCCCAAATGCCTGTAACAGCCATAGCTTTGCTCATATCTGTTTCCTCTGGGGATTCTCTGTGTATTGCAATCAATTTCTCCCAGCTTCCTAACACCTCCCCCATTATAAAATGAGCCCCCTGAGGACAAGATCTAGGTCTGTTTTGTTTTTATAGCCTCAGCGCTTGGGACTACGCCTGACACAGCAGAAGTGCTTCGGAACTGCCTTTCATTGGGTGCCCTCTGAAACTGTTGCTCACCTCTGTAAAGCAGTGAAGCAGGTACCATGGACAGAGCACGGACGGACAAAGATGTGGAATTCATGTTGGAGCACAGGCTTGAGCTAGGGATGGGCTGTTTTCCTGACTCTGGCAAGAGAATATGCACAGGATCAAGCATGTCCATTCATTTTTCTTCTAGATTTCCAGAGAGAGAATGAGCCCCATGCAGTGTGGGAATTGTGCTCCTGGTCTACTTTCCCCTGATCTACACTGCTTGGATCTTCAGGTGTCACTGTGTGGACGGCCCTGAGTCGTGACTCTTCCTAGACGCTGTAAACCTGCCTCCTCTCTCCTGTTGTGGAGTTGGCACAGCCTTTGGCTGGTCTCCAGACAGCTCCCCTCCCCCCCGCCTCCCCACTCTCCAAGACCATTTGGAGCAGAGAAAGGGCATACTAAGGCTGGAGGAGAGAACAACTTTCCTTTTTTTTTTTTTTTTTTGCATTCTGTCCCTTGTATCTATAAACTTTGGACTCTCACTGCTTGGGTTGATCTGCCTGTGCTCCTCAATGAGATCGTACGTGACTTAGAATCTCCCTGTCAGTGTCATTTTTAGACCTTATATTACGAAGTCCCATCATCTACATCTGCCTCGATTCACCTTAAAATCCCCCTCTCTTCATTTCCCTCAATGTGGCTGCATAGAAGAGCCCTTCCCCAGTGTGGAGTTCCTCCCAACCCTGGAGAGGCTGAAGACCTGTGCTTAGGACAGGACCCGCAGCAATGGAGAGCTCCTCAAAGGCAGTCTCTCACTAGCTCTTCCTCTGGACTCACACTGCGTGGAGCCTGAATGGAGGATCAGGTAAGGCAAATGCTTATTCTACCCCATCCTGCTGGTGAGAAACAGGCGGGACCTCAGGTGAGGCAGGAAGCTCTGGCTTAGGACTGGGAGAAGGGACAGAGCACTCGCTGCAGAGGGGGGTCCTGCAGGGAGGAAGGTGGAGGACGCCTGTGTTCCCAGAGTTTTCCTCTCTCCAGGAAGCCATGTGATCTTTGCCAGGTAAGGGATGGGCAGGCAAGGACCACAGAGCTCTTGCTGGAGAAACTGAGCAAAAATAAATGGAAAACTCAAAACTCAGCAGGTACCAAGACTAACTGAGTGATGCTGCAGGGCAGTGCTGCCTGCATTGAGACTTCTGGGGTTGTAGTTTCTTGTAAAGGGCTTTGGGGGAGGGGAGTGGTTCTATTTCCTGGCAAGGGTTACGGACCCACTGAGACCCTAGCCACAAGTGGGTGTCTCTGTCAGCTTCGAGGTGAGAACACACCCATGGCAAGAATTCTCTAGGAGCTGCTGCTCGCCCCTCCCATCCTGCGAGGGTGTGGTGAGCTGGGTGGGGTGGCCCTTGTTTGTGGGTGCCACGACTCCTGGCTGGAAGAGCTTGAGCCACTACTCAAGCGATGGTCACAGACTTACCTTCCCAGATGAGGTTCTACCACGTAGGATAAAGGCGTCAATAATGACTAATAAGTTAGGCCAGATTGACATGGAAGAATGATCTCAAGAGATGACTTCAGGGTTGTGGACTTGGAGCGTTAAAAGCATCGTCCCAGAGAAAGAATGAAGAACTGGCAGGAAGAGAGGATTGGGGCCAGAGTGGACGTTGATGGTGGCGGTGTTAGTGTGCCTGCTATGAGGAATGTGGCGGGCAGTAGGGAAGGTGGCACGGAAGTTGGGGATGGTGATGTGTTCACAGATCCTGAGAGGAAAGATGAGGAGCTGCTCATGGAGCACCTGCAGCCATCCTCAGAGACTACAGACACGAATGAGAGACTGGGATAAATTGTTCCCTGTTAGTACAGAGGGACCACCTATCAGCTGCTGTTTTACCTTTTTTTTTTTTTTAGCAAAAGTGAAGAAGGAGCTAACAGAGTTAGTAACTGACACATCATTTTATCTTGAAAATGTTTTGAAAACTTCATGGAAGATGGAACTAAAAGAAGTTTTGCACAAAATGCAGAACATTTTGTGAAGTCCATGCATAGTTGGTCCATATTGCACTTTTAAAAAATATTTATGTTTTATTTATTTGAAAGGCAGAGTTACAGAGAGGCAGTGACAAAGAGAGAGAGAAAGGTCGTCCACCCACTGGTTCACTCCCCAAATGGCCGCAAAAGATTCGAGGCTGGAAATAATTCTTCCTCCTTCCCCTGCCCCACCCACCCTGTGCTCTGGCCAGAGGCTCCTCCAGTCACAGACTCTGCTGGTAAACATCCCAGCAGACAGTCAGCGTCTAGGAAATTGTCATCTTTTTGTTGTTTGTCTCCTTTATCCAGAACTTTCTGTGGCTCTCTTACTGCTCTCTGAGTTGGCAGGACATAGTAGGGCAGATCAAATCCTGAAGTCAGTCCAACACGTTCCTTCTTTAGTAGCACATCAGTGGCTTCTGCCGTGGAGAGGCAGTGGGATGTGTTGGGGAGCCCAGGGAGACCCTGCCAAGCCACACTCAGGAGTGCAGGGCCCCCAGTCCTTGTACTTCACATTACTCTGTCTCTCGGCCGTGAGTGTCCCAGCTCAGGGGTGTTGGGTTGAATTGCATTCCCTCCAAAAGATATGTTGAAGTCTTAAGCCCTGATACTTTACTTGGAAATAGGGATTTTGCAGAAATGATTAAGTCGAATGAAGTTACACTGGATTAGGGTGGCCCTATATCTGATGACTGATGTCCTTACGCAGAGGCTGTGTGAAGACTCAGAGACACAGACACACAGGGATAGCCCATGTGACAAGAGGCAGAGGCCGGAGTGACACATCAATGAGCTAAGGGACGCCAAGGATTGCCTACAACTGCCAGATTCTGGGATAAAAGCCTGGGACCCCTTCTTCCTCCCCCAGGGCCCCAGGAAGATCCACCCCTGGTCTCTGACACCGTGGTTTCTGCCTTCGAGCCTCCGAGGCTGTGAGAGGACAAATCACATGGTGTGGTCACTGGGTATGGCAGCTGTGAGAAGCTAATACCAGAGGTCTCCAGCTAGTTCTGGAAGAGTCCGTTCCTGCAACAGTAGCTGTGGGAGCCCCACCCAGATCTCTGCCTTTCCTTGAGCGGCCAGATGGCTGCTGACTGCTGTCACCTCTGTCCTTCTCTTGCTCTATGGAGGATGCAGCTCCAGCTGTGCCTGGCTGCTATGCCTCCTCCTCCCATGTAGCCAGTGAGAGTCCAGTCCCTTTTCCTGGAGGCCAACAGACTGGGTGCTCTGTGTGGTGGAGAGCTCTCTGAGCCATCAGCCCGAGCGTGGACATCACTGACTCCGCATCCTAGCTTAGCTTCCTCCCCTGTCCCCGCCCTCCCCGAGCCCTTGCGAGATTCTCCTGCCAGCATCCCCAGCCCCACGTCGCCTGCACTGAGCCCTGTCTCAGACTGCTCCCAGAAGGCCTGACTTCAGATGCTTTCCAGGCCCTGCTCCTCCATCACTGGGCTCCTGGCTGTTGCAGGTGCTGTGCTGTGGGATGTCCACGTGGCATGCATTGAGAATCCCCGGGACTCTGCTGGGCACAAACACTGATGGGTGACTTGTTAGGGCAGGTGCTGATGAAGTGATGTCCTCATGAGGGCTGGTGGAGGGAGCACCATCAGTGTCAGGGTGTGGGTGATAGTGGGACCTTCCTTGGTGGAGCCATGGTGGCCTGCAGAAGGTTGACCCAGCACTCAGGGGCCCGTGGATGCCCCATTGACCTTGTGGCCCCTTGTCTTCTGAGGGGGCAACCTTCTTGGTCTCCTCTGAGGTCGTCAGAGTCTCTTCTCTCAACTCCCCCCACCCCCCGCTTCCCCTCTTATATATTTATTCACTCATCCAACAAATATTTATTGAGTATCAGCTTTGCATTAGGTCCTGTCCTAGGTACTGGGAATAGAACAGTGGGCAAAAAGACCAAGTACCTGCTCACGTGAAGCTTGGGGCCCAGAGGCAGGGACAGCTGGACAAATAGATGCGTAGGATCCTGTCCAGCCCTGGGAAAGCCCCTTCTCATTGCTGTGAAATCATTTCCTTTTCCTGTTTTTCTCAATGTGCAGCAAGTTCTCTTCTAGGGATTTAGACTATTGTGTAATGACAGCAGTAGTAATTATTATTACAACAGCCAGACTCTATGTAGGCTGTTTCTTTTTATCCTAATCATGCTACTCGATCATATGGGCAAGAGAGAAAGTGGAAAATAACAGGAAGAGAAAAGTAAAAGTTAGTATCCCAGGATATTATCTAGCAACCAATGTCATACCTATTAAATCATTGTTAGGTGTCATCTGACAGATCTCTTGAACAAGGGGGAGATGAGAGGCTATTTCTGGAACATTCCCATCTTCAGGGCTTGGGGAAGTTTACAAGAATACCTTGTATAATTGTTTTCCAGCCTCATCACTTAGAAGGTGTGTGACTTTGAGCAAGCTCCTTAGCCTCTGTGGGGCCTCAGTTTGACAAAGCTTAATTGTCTGAGTAAAGGCATAGGGATATGCCTGGCGTGCCCTAAACATCTGGGATCAGTGGAATCAGAGATGCAGATTTGGTTGGTATGTGGAGGACTCCCAGGAACCTGTATTTTTGAAGAACGTCTCAGAGTTCTGCACATTTGGGTTCCGGGATCCCTGCTGCATGGCTGCTCCTGCACTCAGTAAGTTTTGCTGAGTCACGGTGGATACTCATGGCACAGGGTTCACTATGACTTGTTCCCTGGCCTCAAGAGCACTTGGCCCAGTGGGGACAACAGACATGTAAACAAAGATGATGTCACAGGATGACCAGTGTTTGATAGATACGTGGGTGAGACGCAGTGGAAGTACAGGGAAGGTTGTGGGTTAATGTATTTTAGGGGCGGAGTAATTAGAGTGGGCTTCCAGATGAAGGGAGAGTTCGGGTGGGTTCTGATGGAACAGGGTTGGCAGAGGTGTGAGTAGATGATTCCAGGTAGAAGGAATGACACAGGCAAGTCGCAGAGGTGTTGGGTTCAGTTTCCAGGGCTGTCCTGACAAAGTACCCCAAATACTGTGGTTAAGACAGCAGAAATGTGTTCTGTCCATCTTGTGGAGGCTGGAAGTCTGAAGCCAAGGTGTCGGCATCGTTCGCTCCTCCTGAGCCTTTCCTCTTCCTCACTCCTGGGGGTCACTGGTGATCTTGGGCATTTCTTGGAGTGGGGCTGCATGACTCCTATCTCTGCCTTCTTTCTGTGTCTACGTCTTTTCATAAGCAGACGAATCATTGGATATGGGATCCACCCTAGTGGAACCTAGTGGAACCTTACATATTACTTTAAAGATTTATTTATTTGAAAGGCAGAGTTTCAGAGAGGCAGAGGCAGAGAGAGAGGTCTTCCATCTGCTGGTTCACTCCCCAAATGATTACAATGGCTGGAGCTGCGCCAATCCGAAGCCAGGAGCCAGGAGCTTCTTTTGGGTCTCCCACATGAGTGCAGGGGCCCAAGCACTTGGACCACCTTCTGCTTTCCCAGGCCATAGCAGAGAGCTGGATTGGAAGTGGGGGAGCTGGTACTGGAACCAGTGACCAAATGGGATGCTGGCACTGCAGGCAGCGGCTTTACCCACTATGCCACAACACCAGCTTCTAGTGTGACCTTATATTAACTTGCATCTGCAAAGATCTTACTTCCAAACAAGGTCACATTCATAAGGGCTAGGGGTTAGGATTTGAGCATGTCTTTTTGGGAGACATAATTCAATCTATTGCTTTGTGAGACAATCTATTGTGAGATAACAAATATGCCATTTGTTCTACTTCTGTCATTCAGGTAGCCAGACTAACACATAGAGTGCATTATAAACATTGAGTGCTGGAATAATTTAGAAACATGAATAGTAAGGCTAAGGTAACTGGGAAATTGTTTGGGAATTAGGCCTGAACTGGCTCATGCTGTTGGTTCAACCGGTTCAGCCTTTTGGGTGACACTCTTGGGCTAAACTGATCACCCTACACTGGCCAGAGCATAGATTGGTTGCTCTTGGCCAGTAACCCACCCATTGCTGGTTCAATCAGCTGTGGCTGGGCAGGTCGGATTCTCTGACACCTCTCTGAGAGCTTAATCACGTCCCTTGGGTTCCTCGGAACAGATATCTCTATGTCAAGTCTTAGATGATGGGCAGAGATGGCTCATAGGCAGAGAGAGCTGGAGTCTAGTGGCTATTTTAGGAGAATTGTAGGTATGCCTTCTGGCTCTCAGCTCTCTCTCCATACTGCCCAGCTGCTAGGAGCTTTGTGGAGTCATGGGCTGGGCAGGTGCCACTGGTCCCAGGAGTGGTGGGGGGTAAAGCATCCCTGGATTTTCCTTGAGCTCTGGTGGGGCAGTGAGCCGCTCCCCATTTACTTTGCCCATAAAGTTCCTACTTTGTACTCAACAAATAGAAAAATGCAACAATTCTTGCTTCCCTTGTCTTTTTTTTTTTTTAAAGATTTTATTTATTTATTTGAGAGGTAGAGTTACAGACAGTGAGAGGGAGAGACAGAGAGAAAGGTCTTCCTTCCATTGGTTCACTCCCCAAATGGCGCAACAGCCGGAGCTATGCCAATCCGAAGCCAGGAGCCAGGTGCTTCTTCCTGGTCTCCCATGCGGCTGCAGGGGCCCAAAGACTTGGGCCATCTTCTACTGTTTTCCCAGGCCTTAGCAGAGAGCTGGACTGGAAGAGGAGCAACTGGGACTAGAACCGGCGCCCATATGGGATGCCAGCACTGCAGGTGAAAGATTAACCTAGTGCGCCACGGCGCCGACTCCTCCCTTGTCTTTGATTGGACAGATCACATATGAGCGAAGCCAGGTGTGGCAGGGCCAGTTTTATTTTCTTATTTAACCATTGAACAGGAATATCTGAAAATGTGTTCTGTTTGGCCCTCATAGTGTGTTGTCTTAAATTTACATTTCATTTATGAGCGAGCGCTCGTGTGAGAGACCAGGCGAGCTGCCCTGCACTGGTCCACTCTGCTGTGATGCTGAGTTGGGCTGAGGCTGGCAGCCGGGAGCTCAATTCAAGTGTCCTTTGCGGTGGCAGGAACCCAGTCACTTGAATCATCGTCTGCTGCCTCTCAGGGTCTGCAGCCGCAGGAAGCTGGAACCAGGAGCCAAAGGTGAGTATCAACATGTGGGACACAGACTCTGACCACGAGGTCACACACCTGCCCCAGTTATGTATTGTTGTGAGAACATGTATTTTTATTTTAAAAAAACTTTAATAAATATAAATTTTGAAAGCACAACTTTTGGATTATAGCAGTTTTTCCTTCCATAACCAGCCTCCTACCTGCAAACCATCCCATCTCCTACACCCTCTCCCATCCCATTGAGAACATTTAAGATCTATTGTCTCAGCAGTCTTCTAGTCTATGATACAAATCTTTTACTGTTAATCATAGTCACTGCTAGCCATAAAATCCCTCACTTTTAAATTACTTTAATTAATTTTTGTTTCTTTTTTTAAAGATTTATTTATTTGAAAGAGTTACAGAGAGGTAGAGACGGAGCGTGATCTTCCATCCACAGTTCACTCCCCAGATGGCAGTCAGTTTTGAGGCCCCAAAGATGGTTTTTTAAATTTTTTCAGAATCTAAAGGTGAAAAAACTTGACTATATATGTATTTTTTTCTGGAGACCTCAGCACTCTCTCTCTGTTCCTGAAGAGGGAATAATTCTTGTGCCTGAGGAGCAGAGCCGGGTGCTTTCAGCTCGTGCGCACCCCAGGCAACTCCAGCCAGAGGGCTGAAAGGGAGGGCTGCCATGATGTAGAAGCACCTAGTAACACAACAGGCGAGATGACTTCTCCTTTCAGTTCCTAATGTCTAGTTTTGGACCTTAAGGAATGGCAATTTCCAGATTAAAAACAGCTTCTTGGAAAGAGGGGGCTGGGTAGAACATTATGCTATGTGGACCACTCGCCACAACAGGGCAGTGAGGATCTGCAGAAGGTCCATGGAGAATGCACATTATCAAAAACTCTGCATGGCTTTAAAAAATTTTTGCAGCCTGATAAACTTTTTTTTTTGACTTTTATTAAATGAATATAAATTTCCAAAGTACAGCTTATGGATTACAATGGCTTTTGCCCCCCCCCCCATAACTTCCCTCCCACCCGCAACCCTCCCCTCTCCCGCTCCCTCTCCCATTCCATTCACATCAAGATTCATTTAAACTTGTTCTTTTTTATTTATTTATTTTTTTTAAGAGTTATTTATTGGCCGGTGCCGCGGCTTACTAGGCTAATCCTCCACCTGCAGCGCTGGCACCCCGGGTTCTAGTCCCGGTCGGGGCGCCGGATTCTGTCCCGGTTGGCCCTCCAGGCCAGCTCTCTGCTGTGGCCTGGGAGTGCAGTGGAGGATGGCCCATGTGGCCGGGCCCTGCCCCTGAAAGGGAGACCAGGAAAAACACCTGGCTCCTGGCTTCAGATCAGCGTGGAGAGCGATGACAAAGGGAGACCTCTGTGACTGACATGACATTGTAAAGGTAGACTCAGCAGACCCAAAAGAATGTATTTGATTTATTATAGATTATGCCACACTGAATATCTCACTAGAAACCACACAGCTCAGATTCAAGCTCCAGATAGAGACAAAGGCCAAGAGAATACGTGATTTCTACTCATGTGTCAGATAGCGAATTGAAGAGACCCGCATTGGAAATCAGCAGAAGTAGTCA